TGGACACTTATGAGGCTGGGCAGCAGGCAGCGCTTCCTGCACAAGCCCGGGGCGCAGAGCTGGCGGCCGTGGGCCACCACAAGTGTCCCGTGTTTGGGGTCCCCAGTGGACTCCAGCGACCCAGGAAGCTCCTATCAGGTGCCCAGCGAGGCCCTTGGCAAACATGACGTCGCCTGACCCTCTAGACTGCCCGGCCCCAAGAACCCATTCTGCAGCAGTGCACACACCAGGACAGGGGACCGGGGTGGGGTCCGGGGCAGGGTGCGCTGGGAAGGCGTGGGGCTCTGTCCCTGGGGGACGAGCAGGGGCGGATCCGTGGCACACGGGGGCTGGGGGAGGGACCCGAGTGCAGCCGGTCCAGTGCCTCCTCCCTGACCCCACGCTCACTAGTGTTTTCAGCAGAGCCTGGCTCAGAGGCAGGCGCCCCACCCGAGGGCTTCCCGGAGACGCCAGGTGGGGCCCGCCCAGCCACGGGCAGGGGCGTCCCCGCGCTCGGAGCCCCTCTGGGTTTCAGCCTCTGCCTCTGGAGGACCGTGCATGGGTGCATCCTGCCCTCTCCTGTCGCGTCCCTCGACCAGCAAGGAAGACACGACCCGAACTCTTCTTCCAGCAGTTTATTCAGGAACCTCTTTCAAACTTCGAATCCCGCGCCCTTTTTTCTCCCCTCCCTCTTATAGCCATCCGCGCACCAATCAAAAGCGGCCAAGTGGCAAGCATTGATTGGTACAGCAACGCGGAAGCCGGAAGGGAGCTCAAACATCTCCTTATTAGGAGATGTTTGTTTCTCGCCAGTCCTTCCGGGGGAAAGGAGCCGGCGCCATCTTTAGGGCGCCGTGCAATGGCTCCCCACACTCTCCGTGCTGTGCCGGGAGGGTGCCAGGGAGAGAGATTCTCACTGCCTGCTACCACGCCAACGCCACCACGGAGCCACACACAACCACGGAGCCACACCACAACCACGCAGGGGACGCTGTGTCCGTGAGACCAGTTCCCAGGCAGACCCTTGGCGGGCCTGGCGGTCAGAACAGCTGAGAGCAGCCTCCAGCTGAGCCCGGGGTGTCGTGGCTGCCCAGGCCTGGAGCCACCAGCACCGCCTGAGTCCTGGTGGCTGACTCCACACGCTGTGTCCACTCTGGGACGGAGAACACTGGTTAATGATAGGCTTCCTTCTTCCCTGGAGAGGCCGGGATGGCAGACAGACAGACACCTCCCACGCACTCCCCAAACGCCTGCCAAGGCTGGGCCATCCGGGCCACCCCTGCTGCCTCCGGGGACCTGCGCTAGAGGAAGCTGGTCAGAGCCGGAGCTGGGACTTGAACCCAGGAGCTCCAATATACTGTCCCACAGAGCTCCCTGCTGTCTGCAGCAAGCTCAGCCGCCCAAGCTGCGGCCCCCAGGGGACCCCCCAAGCCCCCAGGGGACCTCCCCAAGCCCCCAGGGCAGCCCCCCAGGGGACCCCCCAAGACCCAGGAGGCAGCCCGATGGCTATCTCCATCTTCAAGCTAAAAACCGGAGTTGCTCCAAACTCACAGAGGCTCTGACTGCAAGGACCTGCCACACCCCAAGTCCCCGCCATGTCCAGGTTTCGTCCGTCACCTGGGTCCCCACCACCACAGGGCCGCAGAGCAGAGTGGCCCATGGAGGGACGAGGGGCCATGCCCCTCCCCCACAGCCCCAGAACCCCTCCCTGTGACGCTAGGGAACCACAAAGCAGAACTGTCAGTCTCAGAGGAGCCCTGATGTGGGGGAGCAGCGCTGGGGTACAAGAGTGAGCCCAAGCCAGGGGGGAGCGTGGGCAGGGCTGCCAAGGCTGAGTGAGCCGAGCCCATGGTGCCCAGGGAAGCCGGTGTGCCCGGGACACACAGCTCTGGGGGAAGACAGGGGCGCCCGCACAGCCCCGGGGACCAGCCAGGGGGGAGCGTGGGCAGGGCTGCCGAGGCTGAGCTGAGCTGAGTCCACGGTGCCCAGGGAAGCCGGTGTGCCCGGGATACACAGCTCTGGGGGAAGACAGGGGTGCCCGCACAGCCCCAGGAACACACACAGCCCCAGGAACCCGCACAGCCCCCAGGAGCCAGCCACAGGCGCCCAACCAGCCCCAGGAACCAGCCCCGGCACCCACACAGCCCCGGGTGCCCACCCAGCCCCAGGAACCAGCCCCGGGCACCAGCCCCGGGCACCCATACAACCCCAGGAACCAGCCCTGGGCGTCCACATAGCCCCGGGTGCCCACCCAGCCCCAGGAACCAGCCCCGGGCACCAGCCCCGGGCACCCATACAACCCCAGGAACCAGCCCTGGGCGTCCACATAGCCCCGGGTGCCCACCCAGCCCCAGGAACCAGCCCCGGGCACCAGCCCCGGGCACCCATACAACCCCAGGAACCAGCCCTGGGCGTCCACATAGCCCCAGGAACCCACACAGCCCCCAGGAACCAGCCACAGGCGCCCAACCAGCCCCAGGAACCAGCCCCGGGCACCCACACAGCCCCAGGAACCAGCCCCGGGTGCCCACCCAGCCCCAGAAATCAGCCCCGGGCACCCACCCAGCCCCAGGAACCAGCCCCGGGTGCCCACCCAGCCCCGGGTGCCCACCCAGCCCCAGGAACCAGCCCCGGGCACCCACACAGCCCCGGGTGCCCACCCAGCCCCAGGAACCAGCCCCGGGCACCCATACAACCCCAGGAACCAGCCCTGGGCATCCACATAGCCCCAGGAACCCACCCAGCCCCCAGGAACCAGCCACAGGCGCCCACCCAGCCCCAGGAACCAGCCCTGGGCACCACACAGCCCCAGGAACCAGCCCTGGGCACCACACAGCCCCAGGAACCAGCCCTGGGCACCACACAGCCCCAGGAACCAGCCCTGGGCGTCCGCATAGCCCCAGGAACCCACACAGCCCCCAGGAACCAGCCACAGGCGCCCACCCAGCCCCAGGAACCAGCCCTGGGCACCACACAGCCCCAGGAACCAGCCCTGGGCACCACACAGCCCCAGGAACCCACACAGCCCCCAGGAACCAGCCACAGGCACCCAACCAGCCCCAGGAACCAGCCCCGGGCACCCACACAGCCCCGGGTGCCCACCCAGCCCCAGGCACCCGCACAGCCCCAGGCACCCACACAGCCCTGGGAACCAGCCCCGGGCGGCCACACATGTGGGAAGGGTGCTAGGTGACGCCCTCTCCTCCCCTCCCCCAACTGCGATCGCTACTAGGGTTTGTTTTGTTGTTGTTGTTGTTTTTGACAGGCAGAGTGGACAGTGAGAGAGAGAGACGGAGAGAAAGGTCTTCCTTTGTCGTTGGTTCACCCTCCAATGGCCGCTGCGGCCGGCCCATCGCGCTGATCCGAAGCCAGGAGCCAGGTACTTCTGGTCTCCCATGGGGTGCAGGGCCCAAGCACTTGGGCCATCCTCCACTGCCTTCCCGGGCCACAGCAGAGAGCTGGCCTGGAAGAGGAGCAACCGGGACAGAATCCAGTGTCCCGACCGGGACTAGAACCCAGGGTGCCGGCGCCGCAAGGCGGAGGATTAGCCTAGTGAGCTGCAGTGCTGGCCTCTACTAGGGTTTCTTGAAGATGAGACAAGCTCCAGATATTTTCATATTTTTTAAAACTTTTTGGGGAAGCTTTATTTATTTATTTGTGAGGTAGAGTTACAGACAGTGAGAGGGAGAGACAGAGGCCTTCTATCTGCTGGGTCACTCCCCAGATGGCCGAAGTGGCTGGAGCTGCACCGATCTGGAGCCAGGAGCCTGGCCGCTCCGGGTCTCCCACGTGGGTGCAGGGCCCAGGGACTTGGGCCATCTTCCTCTGCTTCCCCAGGCCACAGCAGGGAGCTGATGGAACCGGCGCCCACAGGGGATGCCGGCACTGCAGAGGGGCCCCATCCTACACTGTTCAGGGTGACTCCCCAAACTCTCTCACCCCAATACTGGCCCTACTCCTATCTGGGTCCCATTCTGAGTGAGCTCACCTGAGGGTCTTTTTCCAATTACCCCTCACCCTGGAGGCTGGTCAATGGCGGGCAGGCCCCTCCCCCACCCCACCATCACCCAGGCCACCAGGAGTCCCCTCCCTGGACGCAGGGACTTGGGCCCCCGGCTTCCGCCAGGCTCCACCCTGAGCCAGACAAGGACCTGCTCATCAGGGCTTTCCGCCTGGCCCCCGGCTTCCCTCCAGTACCGATGTGGAGTGGGTTTAGCAGCGAGACATCTGCAACAGGTGAATCCCAACGAGCCGGCCCCTGCAAGCTCTCCCCCGGCGTGGGCGGTGGCCAGGTGGGCCAACTTACAAACAACACAGACTCGGGCTTCCCAGGGACACGACCCTGCCTAGGGGGCCTGGGCACCCGCTTCCCCTGCAGGGACCGGCCTCCTAGGGGCCGCCGCCTGCAGCACTGGCATCCCAGGTGGGCGCCGGTTCGAGTCCCGGCTGCTCCTCTTCCAGTCCAGCTCTCTGCTGTGGCCCGGGAGGGTGGTGGTGGATGCCCCAAGTGCTTGGGCCCTGCACCCGCGTGGGAGACCGGGAGAAGCACCTGGCTTTGGCCTGTCGCGGACACCTGGGGAGTGGCCAGCGGACGGAAGATCTGGGAGAGCCAGGGCGCCTGCCCGGGCCTGGGAGCGGGAGACGCCGCCGCGAGCCCCGCTCACCGCATCGCAGCACCGGCTGGGTGCGCTTTTGCTATCACAGACCCCACCCCGCGGCGGCCCCGCGCCCTCCTCCTGGCGACGCGGGCCCCCCGCCGGCTGCCCCCACCCTGCTCCTGGGGACGCGGGCCCCGCACCCGCAGCCCGGGACACAGCGACGGCCCGGGAGCACGCTCCGCGCCCAGCCCCAGGGTCGGCCCGAGAACATCGGCCCCGCGGTAGCCCGGCCCGCGCAGGACCCCCGAACCTCTCACGCGCCAGCGCCGGGGCCGGAAGCCGCGCGCTGCACTTCCGGCGGGGGCGGGACTTGGGGGCGGGACTTGGGGGCGGGACTTAGGGGCGGGCCCGCGTCCTCCCGCCGAGCCACTTCCGGCGCGCCGGGCCGCCGGTGCCGACTGCGGGTCCGCTTCCCGGGGTCGGTGGTCGCTGCGGGCCCGAGAGCCTGGGGACTGGGGGAGGGGCGGCTGCTCATGCCGGTGCCGACTGCGGGTCCGCTTCCCGGGGTCGGTGGTCGCTGCGGGCCCGGGAGCCTGGGGGAGGGGCGGCTACTCACGCGGGTGCCGACTGCGGGTCCGCTTCCCGGGGTCGGTGGTCGCTGCGGGCCCGAGGGGCTGGGGGAGGGGCGGCTGCTCACGCCGGTGCCGACTGTGTCTCTCCCAGTCGACCCCCAGCGGACGCCAGCCAGCCAGCCAGCCATGGAGGACAAGCCGATGGTGGTGTCCAAACAGAAGACGGACGTGGTGTGCGGGGTCCCCACGCAGGTGGTCTGCACCGCCTTCGCCAGCCACATCCTGGTGGTCGTGACCCAGTTCGGGAAGATGGGCACGCTGGTCAGCCTGGAGCCCAGCAGCGTGGCCGGCGACCTCAGCAGGCCCGTGGTCTCCACGAGGGTCCTCCTCGGGCAGGACGAGGTGAGGGCGGGCTGGCTGCAGCTGTCCCTCAGGACGGGGGCGGGGCCCCCCGCGGAGGAGCTGGGCCGCTGGGAGGTCGCACTGAGCTGCTGCGGGCTGGGGTCCCTCCGGGCTGGGGTCCCTCCGTGCGGGCGGGGAGCAAGCGGCCTGCTCTCCCCCTCCCCCAGCCTCTCATCCACGTCTTCGCGAAGAACCTGGTGGCGTTCGTGTCTCAGGAGGCCGGGAACAGGGCCGTGCTGCTCGCCGTGGCCGTGAAAGACAAGAGCTTGGCGGGGCTGCAGGCCCTGAAGGCGCTGATCCGGCTCTGCCAGGTGTGGTGACCCCGGCTGCGCTGCGGTGGCTTGGACGCTGAACGGGGCGGAGGGCGGGCCCTTGCCCTGGCTGCGGACCCGGCCCGGGCGCAGGGCCGGCCTGGCGCTGGCCCCTCCCGCCGGGTGCCCAGGCGCGAGGGCTGGCGCCGGACTGCCCACAGGATATTTTTCTAAATTAAAAGTAAACACTTCCCAACGTGCTTCAGGGTCCTGACGAGGGACGGTGGCAGGGCGGGAGGTGACCCCCAAGCTCAGCGTCCCTGTCCGGGTGGACTCCAGAAGCCCCCAGGATGCCCTTCCTGGGGGCGGGGCCATCGCCGGGTGCCCCCAGACCTGCAGGTGTGGTGAAGTCAAACGTGTGCCCGAGACGGGACAGAAGGAATCTTTGTCCGGCCGCGGCCCCTGCCCCTGGGGAGCCCACGGTCTCTTCTAGGGCCCCCCCCAGCTGCTGGGGTACCTGTGTCGCTGACGCCCCCTGCAGGAGTCGGGAGGGGGGCCGTCCCGGCCTGTGCCCGCCGGGAGGGGCCACTGAGGCAGACCGGTCCCTGGCAGGCGGGACTCCCAGGTCACAGCTCCACGGCCTGCTCCCTGCGTGGGGTGGGGGATGCGGCCGTGCCAGGAAGGGAGGCCCAGCGCCTGCTTCCTTTAACACAGGGGTCGGGGGTCAGGGTCAGGAGCTTGGACGGGCCCGGGGCTGCGGCCTGGGCTTGAGGTGTGGCCGCTCCGCCTGCCCCGGGTGTCTCACAGGTGAGGAAAATGAGGGCCGGAGCGGGCCCGCTGTTCCCCAGTTGCTGTTCCTCCGTGGTCCCCGTGCCCCGGCTCCCGTCTGCCAGGCCCCGGTGGAGCCGGGGAAGTCGCTTGCCTGTACCAGCAGCACCCTGAGAGCCGGGCCCTGCTGGTGCTGTCTGCCCGGGTCCCCGACCGCGGGCCTAAGGGCGGCCCTGTGACTGGTGCTGGGACAGCCGGGTTCCCGTGCCCCCTCCAGTGTCCTTCCCCGCTGCCCAGAGCTGTGGGGCGTTAGAGGAAATGGCCCAGTCGTCCGGGCTCCGGCCGCAGGCGAGGGGCGGCAGCTCCCAGATTCGCCGCCCCAGCTGTGGTTCACCCAGCAGATGTGGGCACGCGTCCGTTTCGGACAGGCGGGGGGGGGGCGCCAGGCTGCAGGCTCCCCGGGTTCCCCCGGTGTCCTGCTCGCTGTGGGGCACGGGCCTGGGTACTGCCGAGATGGCTCGGGGGTCGGCTGTGCTCGGCTTGACCTAGCCCTCAACACCCCTCCCCAGCCGGAAGTGACAAATTGCCCCGGACGACGAAGGGCTCGGTGCTGTGGGTCAGCGCCAGGGAGCAGCGCGGCCCACGCTGCCGAAGGGCGGCCTCTGCTGTTGGGTGAAGCAGGGCTGGGGAGGCCTGGGGGCGGCGGTGGCGGGACAAGCCCGTCTGCTGGTGTTGGCGAGGACGCCTGGGGGTCCACTGGGCTGCAGGCCAGGAGCCGCGGCCCCACACGCGTGTGGCACACATGACGGTGTGGAGGGGATGGGGCCAGGAGCGAGAGGCAGAGGGGTCGGTGAGGAACGGACGCCCGCGGCAGGACACAGGTACACGCCCGCGGCCACCCAGGAGAGCCAGGGGGCCCAGGGCTGCGACCTGTGACAGGTGTGGGTGGGGCTGGCGAGGCTGGGGTGGGCAGAGCCCTCACCGCACGCCGAGAGCCTGAGGGCCGCAGGGGCCAGCCCACGTCCACCTGTGGGTCCCTGACCCCTGTGCGAGAAGCAGACGGAGGCCGGTGCTGGAGCCCGGGAGGGGGTGTGCAGGGTGTGGCCGCGCAGCAGCTGTACCCAGGCAGGTAGGGCCGGGCGGGCCGGCAGGGCTGGGAGGAGCTGCTGGGTGTGAGAGAGGCCGGGCTTCTCCGGGAGCGGTAGTCCCCTCCCTGGCAGCTGCGAGGTGGGGCAGCAGAGCGCTGGGCCCCCAGGCCCCCACAGCCCCCCGCTGAAGGCCTGCCACAGGTGGGGCGGCCGAGAGCCTCCAGGGAGGTGAGTGTGTGCGCAGGGCGTGGCGGTCAGGCTGGCGTGGGAGCCCCTGCAGGGAGGATCCGCTGTTGGACTGGGCTCCCGGAGACCCCCCGGCTTCTCCTGAGAAGGGGCTCTGGCAGCCGGGTCAGCACCCTGTCCCCAGGGTCCAGGACGCCTGGACAGCCCTCCCAGGCTCGCTGTACGCTGGGGGAGGGGCAGGGCACAGCTACAGGAGGCGTGGGCTGGTGGGGCCAGGATCCGCCCTGCGCCCCCGCCTGTCTCAGCCCTGAGCTGGAAGCAGAAGGGCCGCCCACGCTGTGGGGACACCAGGCGGCCAAGAGCCAGCGCCGCCCGTTCCGGCCCCTGCCAGGCAGCCTCTGCCCGGGTCTGATCTGCCTGGGGCCGCCCAGGAAGGGCAGGTGGCAGGGAGGCCAGCCTGAGTGCCACCACGGGACGCTCAGCTGTAGGGGCTGCACCTGTCCAGGTGAGGCGGGCATCATGGCCACCAGGCGGCAACGCTGACTACACACCTGCCGGCGGGCTCCAGGGGAGTCCCAGAGCCAGGGCGGCGCCCGCCCGCCCCACCCCAGGAGGGGCGGCCACTGGGTCAGGGCCATCCATCATGCTGCCCGAGACAGTGCCCCAGCTGCTTGGCTGGGGGCGGGAGGTGCACACCCCGTCCGCTCCGCAGGAGGCTTGTGCGCCCACAGCAGGGGCCCTGTCCTCTGTCTGCAGGGGGACCGGGGTGGCCTGGCGGGGCAGTGTGGAGGCGGGCGTCAGGGTGAGAGGCAGGCGGCCAGCCAGGCCCGGGGCAGAGGGCGGTGTGCAGGCGTGGGACCGGCTAGGCGGCTTCTTGGCCTGCACAGCTCCCCGGGGCACCTGCAGTGCCCCGGTCACAGGAAGCTTCGGTGTCAGAGGCCGGGCTCGGGACATCCAGGGCCGCCCAACTGCACTGCGTCGCCTGAGTGGGCAGGGCCCCCTGGCCGGAGCGACAGGACAGTTTATGAGTTGGGGGTTGACTGCCCCCATCCCTGCCTCTCCCCCACCCACATCCTGCTGCTCGGGCACCAGCTGCAAACGGCTGCCCTTGCCATGTGCTGCTCTGGGGGTCCGGAGCCCACCCTGGAACCCGGTGGGGGGGTTTCCCTGGGCCCCCTGAGATGGCGGCCCCCCCCCGGGCCTGAGGAAGGGGTTCCCACCCCCCTGGGAGGACACCTTCCTCCCCCTCTCCCTCCCCTCCCCTTCCCTCTACTCCCCCTCCTCCTCCAGGAGGATGGGTGGGCATTTGGGGCAGTGGAAGGGGCCAGCACTAGGGGCCTGCTGAGCCAGCCCCCTCCCCGTAGGCTCAGGGACAGTGGGGCCAGCCCCCTCCCCGTAGGCTCAGGGACAGTGGGGCCAGCCCCCTCCCCGTAGGCTCAGGGACAGTGGGGCCAGCCCCCTCCCCGTAGGCTCAGGGACAGTGGGGCCAGCCCTGGCACCAGGAGGCCCTCGGGAACACGAAGTCCTGGTACTGCTCTGTCCTGCCTGGGACTGGCCGAGCCCTCGCATCTCAGGCTGGAAGCAAGACTTCAGACCAGGACCCTGCCCACGTGCTGGGCCTGGGGCGACCAGGGGCAGCTCACGCAGGAGACGCCCAGCCCTCCGAGGCAGCGGCAGGCCCCCCCTTGCCTGTTCTCCCTCCCCGTGGGCTGTGGGACCCTCATCAAGGTTCGCTTCCGGCCTCAGCCTTTCTCAGCTGTGAAATGGGGGTAAGCGGCCCATTCTCTGAGCGGGGCCGTGCGCCAGCAGCCAGACCGCTGGCGGCTCCCAGAACAAACTGCCTGGCCGGCGCGCCTGGGGCCCCAGAGGCAGGAGAAGGGGGCTCCAGCGGGGCCCCAACTCCCCGGGGTGGGGACCAGGAATCCCCAGGGGCGGGAGGGCGAGGGCCGGGATGCTCCTGGACCGATCTCCTCTCGGGGGTCCAGCAGGGAGCTGAGGACGCTGCTGAGACCTGGTGGGGGGGCAGACGGCCCGAGGGCGTGGAGTGGTGGGGCGGGGCTCTCTGTGCCTGGACGACGGGTCCATGGTGGGCGGCCAAGGGAGGCTCCCACATGCCTGCAGTGGATGTCCTCGCATCCTCTGGCCACCGCCCACCAGGCCGGTGTCCCCACTCCCACCTCACAGGGTGCACCCCTAGGCCTGGGCACACACGGGGGGTGGTGGCTGGGTCCACGACCTGGGCTCCCAGGTGTTTGCCCTGCTGGTCTTGGTGGGCAGACCGGGCAGCACCCGGGCCCTGCCTGGGTGGGAGGCAGACCGGGTGGGGGAAAGTCCCGCGGAACGGGCGAGGCCTTGGTGAGGCTGTGGACTACGCCCACTCTACAGATAAGAAAACCGGGCCCAGATGAGCCGGAGGGCCCTCCAGGACGATCAAGGACGTGGGCAGGACAGGAGCTAAGCACGGAAGCTGCCTCTGGGAGTGAGCTGGCCAGAGCCAGGGCGGGGCGGGGGGGGGGGGAGGTGGCGGAGAGCTCGCCAAACATCCTGGCTAGAGGAAGGGGCGGTGCAGCCAAGGCTGTCGCCCGAGTCCCATCATTTCCAGGGTGTGCCGTGGGTGGGTTTCGGAGCCAGAGCCCAGGCTCGTGGGAGGAGCGGCTGAGCTACAGCATGCCCGGAGAGAGCAGCCGTGAGGCCCTGGGCACGCCTGCATCGCAGCCGTGGGCCCAGGAGCCCCGCCAGCCTGGTCAGGAAGCGCTGCCCCATCCACGTGGGATCTGCCCCCTGCTGGGCTCAGCCTGGCCAGGCCTCAGTTTCCCTCCTGTTCTGCGAGTGGGTCCCATCCCAGGCTCGCAGCCAGCAGTGGTGGCTCCCGCCCTCGTAAGTGCCCAGGACGGGGACAGTGTCGTGGCCAGAGAGCCGCGTCCCCACACGGGGCTGGCGCCTGGGAGGGGCGCACCTACAGTGGGACCAGGCCGTGGCTGCAGAAGCAGTGGGGCACCCCCCACGCCCCCACGAGGGCCCCCTGTGTCCATGGCGCCATGCCCGGGGCCCAGGGCATGCAGGGGTGTAGGGAATACCACATGACGTTCAAGAGGCAGACAGGAGGTCACACTCGAGACTTTGGTTCTCCCCAGGAGGAAAGCAGGTACCGCAGGCCCCAGGCAGCCCGGAGCAGAGCCTGGGCAGGGAGCTCCCTGGGGGTGGGGGTGTCCCAGCACCCTCGCGTGCCCCTGGGGGCGTCAGACACGGGCGAGCCGCTCGAGCCCCCAGTCCCCGTCTGCAAGAGGGGAACGGCAGGTGCAGTGGTTCTGGATGGGAGGCCGGGCAGGAGTGGGCGTTCTGAGGCTGTGCTGCTGGGGCTGCTGCCGGGGGTGGCCCAGCAGGCTAAGGGCTGCGCTGAGACCCCCGGCGCTCCTGCGGGCCTGGGGCTTCAGAGGGGAGGCCCCGCCCCTTCCAGACCCAGAGGGGTGGGCAGCAGTGGAGCAGCCGGCGGCACAGGCAGGACGCCTGCGGCCACCTCCTCTGTACGGAGCTCGTTCCTCACCCTAAAGGGAAACCCCGCCCCAGCAGCCCCCCACCCCCAGCGTGCAGCCACCTTGGCCCACAGTGGGCCCCTGCTGCCTGTCCCCACCAGGTGGCAGCTGCCTGGCCTTCCGGCACCGGCAGGTGAGGGCACCTGGCGGCCAGCAGTTTCCTGGGAGCCAGCTGCCACCCAGCAAACAGCCGGGGGGGGATAGAGTGTCAGCGGGGAGGGGCCGGGCCTCCCTCCTCCCTCCCCTCCCCGGCTCCGCCCCCCAGCCGGGAGCTCAGGTGGGCCACCGGGCAGCTGAGGAGGTGCCAGGCAGCTCCAGCCCAGTGCAGCCCTCTGGCTGGCAGCCTCGCCCATCTCACTCCCCACTGCAGGCCACCAGTGGGGCCACGTGGCCATGCAAACAACCGGCCAGGCTTCCCCAGAGACTGGGCCTCCCGTGGCTGGGCCAAGGAGCTTCCTGCTCGCAGAGGTAGGTGCTGGGGCCTGGGACTGCTGGGGAGGGAGGGCAGGAGGCTGGACGGGGCTGCCCGCAGCCCGGCACCCGGCACCTGGCAGGTTGGCAAGAGGCTGGAGAGCAGGTGTCCAGGGCCGGGACGTGAGCAGGGCATGGCCTAGAGCTCCGTGGCCGAGCTGAGCGCCTGGATGGGCGCTGGGCAGGGGCTGGCCTGGTGAGGAGGCTGCACCCCCTACACTGTTACATCAGTGCCACCCACGCTGCCCCAGGCTCCCTGAGCAGCCAGGACAGGCGGCGTCCCCCGAGACTCAGACCTGGCCGGAAGATAGCTGTGTGGCCCAAAAAAGCAGGCTCCCCACCCCCCTCATCGCAAGCCCAGGGCATCAGAGTTCAAAGTTTGTCTGGCAGGCAGGGAGGTGGAGAGAGAAGCCTCGGGCAGGACTGGAGGTGGGGGCCCCGTGGGTGGGGCAGGCAGAGCCCGACTCCACAGAGAGGACGGGTGGCCCTGACAGCCCTCACCCGGGCACCCCGACACCCAGGGCAGGCTCCGCGGCGGCCCCGGCCCCTCCCCCACCTGGGCTGCCGCCTGGAGTTTGCACCTTGGCCTCCACTCTGCCTGTGTGTCCTCCCGCTCTGCAGGTGAGTAATGCCTCCGGGCTCCTGGGAGCGGCGGGAGTCCCCCTGGTGTCCGCCACCTGGCCGCAGCCCAGCCCCCTGGCAGCCATGCCCACGGTGCCCGCCGGGCCGCAGGTGGACCGCGTGGGCAACGGCTCCCAGAGCGCCCCCCAGCTCTTCCTCATGACCCCGCTGGCCCGCGGCGTCTCGGGCGTCTTCGTGTGGACGGCTCTGCTGCTCACTTGCCACCAGGTACGTCCTCCCCACCTCGGAGCCCCCCGGGGACCCCCATCTCCAAGAGAGGTGGACGCAGCTCGGCCTGGCTCCATGGGGTGCTGACGCCGGAGCCTGCCTGGGGTACAGGTTTAGAGCCCAGGGACACCCAGGTGCCGCCAGGCTGGGCCCCAGGGGAGACCCCCACACACAGGGGGCACGGGGGAGCAGGGAGCAGGCCAGGGCTGGGCGGCAGGACAGGGTCTGGCACAGAGGCGCCTCTCCCGAGCCACAAGCCTCCTGCAATCCCTGGCTGAGGGGTCAGCAAGGGGGGACGTAGGACAGGTCCCCCAGTGCAGAAGCAGCAGGGCCGGGCAGCCAGCATGGGCCAGGGAGTGGACGGGCAGAGACCCTAGGAGGTTGGCCGGGGCGGGGGTGGGGGCAGGGGCCCGGGACACTCTCGGGTTCACAGAGAGGCACAGAAGCATGGACCCCAGGTGGGAGGGTAGGAGCTGGCACAGGACGGTGGGGCCGCCTGGCTGGAGGGGTTTGTCCAGGGCCCTCGGACCCAGTGGAAGGAGAAAGGGGTGCCAGGAGCCAAGGACGGCTGTGGAGGGAGGGGCTGAGAGCAGAGTGGCCTTTAGGACTGCTCCTCTGGCCCCGACGTAGGGGATGGCTGGCGGGGGAGCCGGGCACCGGGGACCTGGGGTGGGCGGGTGTCCCTCTTGGGAACAACCGCCTGCAGGCTGATACAATCCAGGCCCGGCGTCGGCAAGCCGCATGCAGGCTGGACAGGACGTGTGCAGAGCCGCGGGGGCAGTGTGGAGGCCGTCGGTCCCGCCGGGCCATCAAGGAGGGCCTCCTGGGGAGGCAGGGTTGAGGTGGATGCCTGGCCATGTGCGAGACCGGGCCCGGCGTCCTGGGGCCACACCGCCAGGACAGAGCCCGTGGAGACCCCTGCGGCTGTGGCTTCAGGCCCCTCCCCATCTTGCACCTGCCAGGTCCAGCCTTGTCACAGGAGCCCGGGGCTCTTTCCCCGTGCAGAGCTGGACAGGACAGGGGGGCTGGGCCCCCGCCTCGCACATGGAACTGAGGTCCCAGAGGACGGTGGCTTGCCGGGGTCACCCAGCCAGGCGGTGCCAGCACCAGGAGCAGTCGCCTGAGGGCTGGCCTTGCCCTGCCCGCCTGCTGCACCCGCGGGGAGTGGAGCGTGTGACTGAACTGATAACGAGGCCACCCCAGATGCCAGCCTGCCCCCGCACTCCCTGGGCCGGGCGGAGGAAGCTGGGTCCCTGTGGCCTCTGCTCACAGCACCTCCTCCAGGAAGTTCTCACTGCCAGCTGCCTGTGTGCATGCCCCCACCCCCAGCTCCTCCTCCTGAAGACCCCGTTTTTGACAGAAAATCTAGAAATCTATAAGGGCGAGAACCATCCTCCCCACGGCCAGGGACGGGGGCTGGGGGCGAGGAAGCCCCTGGTGTCTGCCTCACCTGTTCACATATTTGGGATCCTGCTCACGTTGTCACTTGTCCTGATTGATTTTTTAAAGATTTATTTATTTAATTGAAGGACAGAATAACAGAGAAAGAGAGAGGGGTAGGTCTTCCATCTGCTGGTTCGCTCTGCAAATGGCCACAATGGCTGGAGCTGGGCCAGGCTGAAGCCAGGAGCCAGGAGCTCCATCCAGGTCTCCCGCGTGGGTGCAGGGGCCCAAGCACTTGGGCATCTTCTGCTGCTTTCCCAGGCCATCAGCAGGGAGCTGGATCGGAAGCGGAGCAGCCGGGACTCCAACCAGCGCCCACAGGGGACGCCGGTGCTACAGGCGGTGGCTTTAGCTGCTGGGCCACAGAGCCAGAGCTCCGTGAATTTTGTTTGAGACAGAGAGCCAGAGCGCCCATCTGCTGGTCACACCCCCAACAGCCAGGGCTGGTCCAGGCCACAGCTGGGAGCCGGGAGCTCCGTGCAGGTCTCCCCCGTGGGTGCAGGGGCCCAGCTACTTGAGCCCCCGTCTGTGGCCTCCCGGGGTGCACGTTAGCTAGACGCTGGAGTCAGAAGCTGGGGTCGAGCCCGTGGTGCTGGTGTGGAGCACGGCCGGTCCACTGGCGTCCACAGCGGAGCCGGGTGCCTGCCCCGCCCGTGAGCGACAGGGGTGCCCTGGTGGGGCGCAGCGCCAGGCGCCACCTCTGCCAGCAGTGTGGCGTCCCCAGCACGCCCGGCCCCGAGGTGGGGCTCCATCGCTGGCCGTGACGGACATCCTTGCGGCTAAGCCTTTCCCTCTATTCGTGTAGACCCCTAGAAAGGGTCCGAGGGCCTGAGTGGGTCCGATGCCTGCATGTTGAGAGCCAAGCTGCTGGCGGGGGGTGGGGCGGCCTCCCCGGGATCCTCCTGGGGTGAGTGAGTGTGTGGACAGTGTTCCCTTGGCCAGAGTATTTGCCAAGAACAGGCGCCTGGCTCGTGCCCCTGTTATTAAAACAAAAAAGGCGTTCCGTGCAGCAGGTGGCGTGGCTGTGGGCAGCGGTGTGCCGTGGGCAGCGCTGGGGGGGGGGGGTCGTTTCCAGAGTCCTCCCCGTGGAAGAATGAGTGGGGGTGGGGCTTGGGGGGCAGCACATACAGGTGTTGGCCGGGTGTCCTGTGAAGGATACATTCGTCCTTAAGTTCTGTCTCACTCTGCTACAATCAGCTACAATCAGACCTACTTCTGATTAAGAGTGTAGGAGGGAGGCGTGTCCCTGCTGCTCGGGCTGCTCCGCTGTGCCCGTGTTTGTTCTGCGAGGTGCACGCCTCTGATTACAGCAGCAGCAGCAACAAGCAAGCTCAGTGTAGCAAAGTGGGGACGCGGAGGGCGGCGCCGGGCCTGCTCGCAGCCGCACCCTCCCCACGGCCAGATCTTCCTGCACCTGCGCTCCTACACGGTGCCCCTGGAGCAGCGCTACATCATCCGCCTGCTGCTCATCGTGCCCGTCTACGCCTTCGACTCCTGGCTCAGCCTCCTCCTCCTGGGAGGCTACCCGTACTACGTCTACTTCGACTCCGTGCGGGACTGCTACGAAGGTGAGGGGGGGAGGGGCTGCTGCCCACACAGGAGACAGACCCTGGAGAAGGGGCCGTCCTGGTGGCCCTGACCTGTGGCAGGTGGCACCCTGGCAGGGCAGGGCGGGGGCGGGAGGCGAGCAGGGGGCGGCTGGTGCTGAGTGTCGGCTCGCCCCACATAAAGCAGGCACCAGGAGTCCTGTGTGGGCCTGGCAGGAGGCCCCTGCTGTGCCGTGGGCCAGGAGCTCACGCCATCCGGGGCTCGGCCCAGCCTTTGTCATTTACAGCTTCCTGAGCCTGTGTTTCCAGTATCTGGGGGGCGAGAGCGCCATCATGGCCGAGATCCGGGGAAAGCCCATCAGGTAAGGCCCTGGCCGCGGCCGCCCGTGCAGCCGGGACAGGGCGGGGCCGCAGCCCCGAGCCCCGCTCAGGCCGTCTCTGCCCCAGGTCCAGCTGCCTCTACGGCACCTGCTGCCTCCGGGACTGGTCCTACTCCATCGGCTTCCTGCGCTTCTGCAAGCAGGTGGGTGGGGCCTCCGGGAGGGCAGGGCGGGGCTTGGGCGGCTGCCCCGCCCCCGCCGCTGCCCACCCTCCCTCGCCCGCTGCCGTCCGCAGGCCACGCTGCAGTTCTGCATCATCAAGCCCATCATGGCCCTGACCACCATCGTCCTCCAGGCGTTCGGCAGATACCACGACGGGGACTTCAAGTGAGGGGCGTGGCCCGGGCGGGGTCCTGAGTGGGGCAGGTGTACACAGGCGTGTCCACAGACAGGCACATGCACACACACCCAGCACACGCGTGCACGGCTCTGCAGTCACGCACGCACGCACACACATGTGCCTTGTCCATGCACATTCGCACACAAGCATGCGTGCACACACGCACGCTCTCCTGCGTGTGCACAGCACAGGGGCCCCAGGGAGGTCAGGTGGGGGCTGGTGGCACAGCGCCCGGGGCACCTGACCAGGCTGACCGTGCCCTCCTCTGGCCCAGCGTCCGCAGCGGCTACCTGTACGTCACGCTCGTCTACAACGCCTCCGTCAGCCTGGCCCTCTACGCCCTGTTCCTCTTCTACTTCGCCACCAGGGAGCTCCTGCAGCCCTTTGAGCCGGTGCTCAAGTTCGTCACCATCAAGGCCGTCATCTTCCTGTCCTTCTGGCAAGGTGGGGGGCAGCCTGCCCCTCCCCCGCGCCCGTGTGCCCGGGGCCAGGGAGCGATGCGGGGACGGGAGGTCCGGGCAAACGGAGCAGTCACCATGGGCCTGATGCTGCCCGGGGCCAGGAGCGAGGCGGGGACGGGAGGTCCCGGGCACTCGGAGCGGTCACCATGTCCTGATGCTGCCCAGGGCCAGGGAGCGAGGCGGGGACGGGAGGTCCCGGGCACTCGGAGCAGTCACCATGTCCTGATGCTGCCCGGGGTCAGGGAGCGAGGCCATGCGGAGGGGGCAGGCAGAGCTGGATGGCAGAGACGGGAGGTCCCGGGCACTCGGAGCGGTCACCATGTCCTGATGCTGCCCCGGGATCAGGGAGTGAGGCGGGGACGGGAGGTCCCGGGCACTCGGAGCAGTCACCATGTCCTGATGCTGCCCCGGGGTCAGGGAGCGAGGCCACACGGAGGGGGCAGGCAGGGCCGGACGGCAGGGACGGGAGGTCCCGGGCACTTGGAGCGGTCACCATGGGCCTGATGCTGCCCCGGGGCCAGGGAGTGAGGCCACACGGAGGGGGCAGGCAGGGCCGGACGGCAGGGACGGGAGGTCCGGGCACTCGGAGCGGTCACCATGTCCTGATGCTGCCCCGGGGTCAGGGAGTGAGGCGGGCACGGGAGGTCCCGGGCACTCGGAGCGGTCACCATGTCCTGATGCTGCCCCGGAGTCAGGGAGTGAGGCGGGGATGGGAGGTCCCGGGCACTCGGAGCGGTCACCATGGGCCTGATGCTGCCCCGGGTTCAGGGAGCGAGGCGGGGACGGGAGGTCCCGGGCACTCGGAGCGGTCACCATGTCCTGACGCTGCCCCGGGGTCAGGGAGTGAGGCCACGTGGAGGGGGCAGGCAGAGCCAGACGGCAGGGACGGGAGGTCCCGGGCGCTCGGAGCGGTCACCATGTCCTGACGCTGCCCGGGGGAGGGGGAGCCTGGCTGGCCGGCGCTGTCCAGCCTCCCACCCAGGAGGCTGGAGCTGAGTGGCCGTTGCCCCCCCCCAGGGGTGCTGCTGGCCCTGCTGGAGAGGTGCGGGGCCTTCCCCGAGGCGCAGACCGTGGACGGCAGCACGGTGGGGGCCGGCACCCTGGCCGCGGGCTACCAGAACTTCCTCCTCTGCATCGAGATGCTGTTCGCGGCCGTGGCCCTGCGCCACGCCTTCACCTGCCAGGTGTACGCGGAGAAGAAGAACTCGCCAGGTACACGGGGCCCGCGGGGTGCCCGGGACACGAGGCACGAGGCCGTGGGAACGTCCACGCTGTGTGCCCGGGGCAGGCAGCCCCTCTGCGTGGCTGCAGGCGGCTGGGGCTGGCCCAGGAGCAAGGCCGGGGTGGGGGGCTCCTCCGGCCATACCAGAGCCCCACCCACACCCAGCCGCCGGGAACACCAGACCCGCAGCCTTCGAAAACGGGTCACGTGCGGCTGGATGGCTTGTGGCCGCCCAGGGCCTGCCCAACTCCCATGCCGCCAGCGTGCAGGCCACCTGCCCCAGAGTGTGAAGGGACAGCCCTGCCCTGCCCTGCCCCACCCCACCCACTCCCAGCCCACCCCAGCCCTGCCCAGTCCAGCCCCGCCCCCAGCCCACCCCAGCCCCGCCTAGTCCAGTCCCGCCCCCAGCCCACCCCAGCCCTGCCCAGTCCAGCCCCGCCCCCAGCCCACCCCAGCCCTGCCCAGTCCAGCCCCGCCCCCAGCCCACCCCAGCCCCGCCCAGTCCAGCCCCGCCCCCAGCCCACCCCAGCCCCACCTAGTCCAGCCCTGCCCCAGCCCACCCCAGCCCCGCCTAGTCCAGCCCCGCCCAGCCCACCCCAGCCCCGCCTAGTCCAGCCCCGCCCAGCCCAACCCAGCCCCGCCTAGTCCAGCCCCGCCCACAGCCCACCCCAGCCCCGCCCAGTCCAGCCCCGCCCCCAGCCCACCCCAGCCCCGCCTAGTGCAGCCCCGCCCAGTCCAGCCCTGCCCCAGCCCACCCCAGCCCCGCCTAGTGCAGCCCCGCCCCCAGCCCAGCCCCGCCCAGTCCAGCCCTGCCCCCAGCCCACCCCAGCCCCGCCTAGTCCAGCCCCGCCCCCAGCCCACCCCAGCCCCGCCCCCAGCCCAGCCCCGCCCAGTCCAGCCCCGCCCCCAGCCCACCCCAGCCCCGCCTCCAGCCCACCCCAGCCCCGCCTAGTCCAGCCCCGCCCCCAGCCCACCCCAGCCCCGCCCAGTCCAGCCCCACCCCCAGCCCACCCCAGCCCCGCCCAGTCCAGCCCTGCCCCCAGCTCCGCCCAGTCCAGCCCCGCCCAACCCCTGCAGGCGGCCAGCGTCGGGGTTGCCTGGCGGAGGGAGGAGCTGGACTGGGGAACCCGTCAGGGCCTGGGGGAGCGCCAGGCAGCCGTGGGGGTGCCGGGCCGGGGAACCCCAGCTCACGCGCCGCCCCCCTGCAGCGCCGCCGGCCCCCATGCAGAGCATCTCCTCGGGACTCCGGGAGGCGGTGAGCCCGCAGGACATCGTGCAGGACGCCGTCCACAACTTCTCCCCCACCTACCAGCAGTACACGCAGCAGGCCACCCACGAGAGCCCCGCACCCGGCCAGGCTGGGCCCCCCTCGCCCAGCACCCACCCCGGCGGCTCCGGCGGGGGCAGGAGGAGCCGGAACGTGGAGAAGCGGATGCTGATCCCCTCGGAGGACCTGTAGGGGCCTCTGGGAAGGGGCAGGCCCCCCCACTCCGACCCTCTCGCCAAAGGTGGAGCCCCTAGCAGAGCTGCCACACTGGGCACCCCCGCATCCTCAGAGAAGCTGCCGGAACAAAGCGGGCCAGCCGGGGCGGAGGAGGGGGCTCCGGCCGGCAGGCAGGGGCCACTGTAGCCACGGCTTCTAGCAGCTGCATGAGACGCAGTGGACACATCCCAGGCGGGCAGCGGTGTCAAGGTACGGCCGGGGGAGAGCTGGCAGCCCAGCCTGAGGCCCACGCAGGGCTCTCGGGCACCGTGAGGCCCGCACCCCAGCCACGGGGAGCCCTGGTGGGGCCGCACCCGAGGAGGTGTGTGCGCGGGGCTCGCTGGCCCTCACTGCCTCCCTCCCGCGAGGCGCCCTTATTTATAAAAACACCTCAGGTCTTTTCTCAACTCCTTTGGCTTCCATCCTGGCCAGCCAGCACGCTGAGTCACAGGCCACCATGGGGGAGTCTGGGGGCGGGGGGCGCCCCTGCCCCCCCAGCCGTGGCACTGCTGAGAGCAGGACAGGGCATTGGCTCGGACGCCCCGGCTTCCTCCCCACCCTCAGCGGGAGCGAGGCCAGCAGGGTTCAGCCCCCAGCGTGCCGGGCCCTAGGGGCCTGCCCTGTCTTCTCCGTGGGCACCAGCCCTGCCTTCAGGCCTGCCTGGGAGCCGTGCGTCACTCCAGGACTGCGAGGACATGGCGGGTGGGGGCGGCCAGGCAGGAGTTCAGTGCGCCCCAGCTCTGTGGCCCACAGCACAAATGGGGGGGCTGAGGGAAGGTGCAGGGGAGGCGGAAGGCAGCCTGGGGGCTCAGGGCTGCACTGAGGAGCTGGCCAGGCCCGGGGCAGCAGACAGGAGGCCCCACAGCTGCCCTGCCTGCCCGGCGGCCACTGGGAGAAGCACGCCAAGACTGCCTATGCAGGGCCTGGGGACGGCTGGCAGAACTCAAGGCCAAGGTCTGGTAAGAGGCCACGCCCCTGCCCCTTACGGAGCCCCTGTAGCTGGCTGACCCCAAGGCCAGGCAGGCCCAGGAAGGAGGGGACAGGCTGGGCAGGCAGACCCTGCTTCCCTCCTCCCCCAGCCTCCGGCGGCCCCGTGGGGCACAGGCCACCCCAAGCCACACTGAGGGTGAGGGCAGGAGTCGGCACCCACCGGCATCCCTGTGTGGGCCACCCCCCGCTGCGCCCACGTGACAGAGCCCAGGGTGTCCCAGTGGGCAGGGCTGGGACACGGCCCAACTCCACCTGCTACCTGCTCCTCCCCGCCCCCAGCTCCCCCCAACCTGGCTTTTTTTTGAGGCTGTATTTTTTTGTTCTCACCTACTGGGGCAGGGGCAGGGGTGGGGCGGGGGTGGAGCCGGGCAGGGAGTCTCCCATCCACTGGTTCACCTGCAACAGCTGGGGCTGGGCCAGGCAAAGCCAGGAGCCCCATCTGGGTCTCCCACGTGGGCCATCACCACGGCAGGAAGCTGGGGCACAGGTGGCGCAGCCAGGACTTGAAGCAGGGACGTGGCGTCACCAGCGGCCACTTACCTGCCCCCCTTGCCGGTCACCACTCTAAGGTGACAGAAGCCTCCAGGGCTCTCGCCACCTGCACATGGAACCCAGCCCCAGGAGGGCTGGACCGGGGCCTGCGGCACACACGAGGGCGTGCAGAGGTAGGAGGGGTGGGAGCCCAGGGCCTGGCCAGCACCCGGGCAGGGTCCCCACTGCCAGCTTCCCCCCCACCCACAGCCTCCAGGAGCCTGGCGCTGGGCCAGGGCTCAGGCTTGTGCGCCAGAAGCAGGAGAGGCCGGGGATCCCCGGGGCTGGGCGGCTTGGCTGGGAAGCTCTTCAGGCTCCCAGGGATGGCGTGCCCGGCTCGCGGCTGCCCAGCCCGGCCTGTGCTGTGTGCTGTCTGGTGCGTCCCTGCCCCAGCCAGCACAGGTCTCAGCACGCGTGGCTCCAAGGCCGCGGCCCGAACTGCTGCCCAGCCCCCCAGGAGGCAGGCCATTCTGCTCAGTGCCGCCAGACCCTCTCTGGCCAGTGAGGGGGCCACTGCTTACCGACCCCTGGTGCTTGCCACAGCAGCCGGCCACCCCCCACCCCAATGCCACGGGGGTCCCGGCTGGCCACAGAGGAAGCTCTCTTGTGGGGGCCAAGGTGCTGGGGTGGGCGTGGCAAAGCAAGGAGCGCAGGCGGGAAGGCTCTGAACCAGGACTTTTATTGTCGCGGGGTGAAGCGGGGAGACGTCCAGTAATAAATTAGGGGGCCGCGAGGGGTGGTGCGGGCCCTCCGCACGTGGCCGCGTCTCGGTGGTCGTGGCGGTGACGGCACAAAAATAAATATTGAAATGAGCCTGCCGGGAAGACGCAGCTGGGCAAGCTGGCGCGGGCGGGGCGCCCTGTCCGAGGGAGACAGAAAACGAACCCCCGACAGAGGTCCTTGTCCTTTTGCTTAAATAAAAAACCCATGTATGAACTCGTGTCGGTGAGGCCGCAACGCTCTGCCAGGCAGCCAGAAGGGGCCCGCCCCGCCCCAGTGTGCCCGAGGGACGCCGGGGGGGCCGGGGCCAGGCGGGACCCCAGCCCCCGCGTGCATCGCAGCGCTGCTCCAGTGAAGGTTTGCAGTATACAACGGGAAGAAGTCATTACAGAATCTGCGATAAAATGTGCATAACTTTATAGATATATATCTCTTCTTTCTCTTTAAATATCTCCCATGGTCCTTACTGATATCCAATATGGATTACCTACCATGGCTATGGTATCAACAGCTGTTTTTAGAAACACCTGGCCCGGCCATCTGGGGCCCTGGGCGCGGCAGGGGGCGCCGCACGCGGACTGCTTCCCACGGCGGGCTCGGAGCTGCGGCGCAGCCCCTGGGCTCACCTCTGCCCTCCTGCCCACCTGGGCCCTGGCCCGGGGACCTCACCGGGAGGCGGAAGCTGGGGCCCCGGGGGCTGCCCCTGCCTGTCCTGTGTGGTGGCCTCTGGGTGTCAGAGCTCGGGGCTCTCATGCCGCCCTCTCGCCTGAATGGGGCCCCAGGGCGTCCATGGAGAGGAAGCCGGGAAGGCTCGCCAGGACCACCGGTGGCTCCGGTTAAGGCTCCAAGCCATAATGAAGCACCAGGGCTGTGCCCCCTCCTGACAGCGGACCAGTGGGGGGGCGCGTGTCCACATGGCTCTCCTGCCCAGTGCCCACCACCCCCTGCCACGGCACCTGGGCCACCAGGCCACGCCGTGCTGTGTCCTGGGCCCACTCCAGGCTCTGGCCTCGCTGCTCCTGCCTCCTCTCCCTGCCCCACCCCCTCCAGCCCCCAAGGCACCTGCATGACCTGCCCTGCGCAGCACAGCTGGTGGGGACCGGGCCTGGGACCCACTCTCCGCCCAACAAGCTGCTCCTTCAAGAACCCCTGGGACGGCACGCCCACACACGTGTGTGCGCACACACGTGTGCTCGGCCCCACGTGCACACGCCAGCTGCTCAGACAGCCCTCCCGTATCTCCTCCACGGGGCATGCTAGGGCCACAGCTGCCCCCACCTGCCCCTGGAGGGCCCAAGCCATCGGGGCTGGGAGGGGTGGATGCGGCAGGACAGGCGTGGACGGGCCGCTCGTCGGAGGCACGGAAGACAGGCCCCCTACCGCCCCTCGTGGCAGCCCCTGCGGGGGACGGTGGGGCCCTCTGAGGACCCTCCCCCGTCCATCCTGACTCTCACAGGCACGAGACGCAGCTGGGGAGAAGGGACGGGCGTGTGAGGGCGTGTGTGCACGCGTGTGCGCGTGTGGGGTGGCGTGCGGCGCGCGGCTCACAAGAGCCTACTCCTGGGCCCGGCCCGCGCCTGCAGCCCCGGGCGTCCGTCCGCGTCCAGGCGGGGCGCCCCACGGGCACTAGGACGCGGCCGAGAAGGGCACGGAGGCGGCGAGCTCGGCCGACTTGACGATGGTGATGACGCTGGTGGTGGCCACCTTGGTGGGCGCCACGGGCCCGCGGGCCACGGTGTGCGCGAAGCTCTGCAGCGCCTCGTACTTGGCGCGCAGGGCGTCGAGCTCCCGCCGCATGCTGCTGTTCTCGCGCGCCAGCTTCTCCACCTCCTGCTGCAGCTCCACGCGCTGCCGCTCCAGCTCCTCCTTCTGCGTCACGCGCTTGATGCGGCAGCTGGCGGCGTAGCCGCGGTTCTTGAGCGTGCGCCGGCGCTGCTTCAGGCGCGTCACCTCCTCCTTGGTGAGGCCCCGCAGGTGCTGGTTCAGCTCCCGCACGGACATGGTCACCAGCTCGTCGTCGCTGAGCACTGGGGCATTCTCGCCCGCCTCCCTCTTGACCTGCGGGGCCGCCGGGGTCAGCGCCCAGCACCGCGTGCCGCGCCACACCACCCGCCCCGGGGCCCCTGCCCACGGGGAGACCCCAGGCCCTCTCAGGAGGGCCGGGCGACGTCGGTGGGGACCTGGAGCTCGGTCACGCTGCCCGCCACGGGGCACGGAGGCCACCCTCCCTCCCCCCAGGGGCTGGCTGGACAGGGCTCCCTCGGGACGGCAGGGACCTCGGGAGGGCTCGGACGTGCACACTGGGAAGCCCTGGGAGCCGGGGCACGGGACTCCCCGGGGCCGCAGGCTCTGCCCGCTCGCCGCTCTGCCTGGTGTCACCTCCCTGGACAGGGCTGCTGGGGCCTGAGGCTCTGAGGCGGGGAGGCGTGGGACAGGCGCGGGGTCCTTCCCAAGCCGACCAGGGCTCTCCTTACCTTCAGTGCCTTGTTTGGCTTGGGATTAGTCGTCATAACCTGGGCACGGTCACCAGGACGGAGCTGCCGGGAAACCGTAGCTGGAAAGACAGCAGCACGCGGGGCAGCACAGGTCAGGTGCCGGGGTCAGGCCGCGCCGGCCGCCTCCCACAGCGACACCCTGGCGAAGTCGGGCCCTTCCTCCCGTCACCATCACAGCACCCCGCCCTCAGGACAGTCCTGGGGCCTCCCCCGAGGTGTGCAGCCTGGCCCCACTCTGTCCCTGCCCAGGGAGCTCAGCAGAGGCCTGGCTGGACCCCGTCTCCAGTGCCAGCCCCTAGAGCAGCAGGGACACAGGGCCCTGCTGCCCCCACCACCAGCCGCCCCTTCCTGCCTCACCCCTCCCAACTCAGACAAGGTACTCGCATCCCGAGGACCCAGGTGGCCAGCAGCCGGCCACTTGCTGAGGTCGGCCACGCCCAGCCGGCCCTGCAGACACAGCCTGGTGCCCCTCTTCGGAGGAGCCCCCGCCCCGGCTCAGTCGCATCACGGAGCACCTGCCGCCCCTCCCCGCAGGCCTGGGGACACCTACCGTGGAGAAGGGCACTGCAGCTGTGACATCACCACCTGCACCCAGGCTGTCCCATGTGCGGCCACAGGGGGCGGGGGTCCCAGCCAGCGGCAGGTTCAGCGGCTGCGGCCCGGACGCGCCGCCCGCCTGCCCCTGCTCCGGGCTGTGTCACACATTCTAATCATTCACCGCCAACCAGCCGGAGCATCCCAAGCAGGAGTCCCCTCCGACAGTTGCCATGGCGACCTTGGGACCGAGCCAGCCCCCACAGTCGTCATGGAAACGGAGAAGCCCAAAAGCAATCCTGACTTGGGTCAGGCTCAGGAAGACATCAGACAGTAAACAAGCCAGCTCACCCCGGAGACCGGACAGGGCGGGCCCACGGCCCTCCCGAGCTGGATGCCAGAGGAGAGTCCAGAAGGCAGGCGGGGGGGGGCCTCAGGTGCAGGACAGAGACCCCGGGGCCCCCAGCAGGACAGCTGAGCTCTGGGCCCCGCCCTGAGGGAGGCCCCTGCTGGTCTCCGCAGTCCCCACGCTGACACAGGACCCAGCCACTCCCACGGGCGCCGAGGTGCACCTGCGGGGCCCGAGCACCCTCACCTGGCCACGCGGGAGCCCGAGGCAGGCGGTGCTGACGGCACCCCGAGACCTGACCCCCGGCACGCAGCAGGGAGCCCCCACCCCCACCCAGGGCACTGCAGAGGCCACCACGCGTGTGGCACCTGAGGAGCCTGGTGAGCCCTGGAAACTTTTCCAGTCCGGCCGGGAAAGGGAGGAGGGGCCGTGTATCTCCCCGCCAGTGACATAGCTATGCGGTGAGTCACCCGCTGTTTACAGAGCCGGCTCACATTCCCACAGCCAGGCCCCTCCCACCCCACACGGACCGACCCGCGCCGCTCACCGCGCCCCACACCGCCCACCGAGAGGAGGGAGGGCCCGAGAGGGGCGTCCAGCGGGCACCAAGCTAAGCCGGCTCCTTCCAGGAAACTTCCCAGCAGCAGCCAGGGTGCAGAGGATGGGGCTCCGCCCCCCCAGGGGACCCCCCCAGGAGGTCAAGGTCGGGCACATCCGGCAACAGGAGGCGACCCTAGAAACCCAAGCCTGGCACAGGGGCCATGCACCAACTCTGAGCTCACTGGGCCCGCCTCGCCCTGGGCCCCGGGCCCCCCGGACAAGTGCACGGGACCCTCGCCCTGGGCCCCAGGGCCCCCGGACAAGTGCACGGGACCCTCGCCCTGGGCCCCAGGGCCCCCGGACAAGTGCACGGGACCCTCGCCCTGGGCCCCAGGGCCCCCGGACAAGTGCACGGGACCCTCGCCCTGGGCCCCAGGGCCCCCGGACAAGTGCACGGGACCCTCGCCCTGGGCCCCAGGGCCCCCGGACAAGTGCACGGGACCCTCGCCCTGGGCCCCAGGACCCCCAGACAAGTGCACGGGACCCTGCCGGGTGCAGGGCGAGGGCCCCAGACCTGCTCTTGCCTTGGGAACTGTTCCAAGGGTGACACCAGGAGCACGGGGAGCGAGGTGTGCACACATGGGGGACCCACACGCCTCCCGCCCTGCCCAGGGCAGCTGCAGACCACACACGGGACCCTCCCGACTCCACCGAGGGTCCTCACTTCTGCTTCTGGGGACGCAATCAAGAGCCCAGGGTCCCACCCAGCTCCCAGAACTCCCAGGGCAGGGGGCAATGTTGCGGCTCTATGCCTCTCTAGAGCACCCAGCACCCTGGGGTGCACCTGTCCTAGGGCCCTCCCCAGGCAGGAGACGCTCGTCACAGCACTCCTTAGGTGGGTCAGAGCTCTGGGGCGCCCGGACCCTGGCCCCAGCCCAGGCCAGGCCTGGATGGGCACAGCTCAGCCTGCTGCCCTTCGACCTGGTGCCGGGGGCAGGGTGCGGCCTGGGTGGGGCGCTCCCTTCGTGAGCCCCGTATGCCCAAGGCTGCTTTAAACATGAGCGGCGAGAAACAGGGCAGCAGAGTTCCGGAAAACAGACCTGGGAAGAGCTTCGCACCTGCAAGGTCGCAACAGCACTGACTCGGAAACAACGCTCCGAGCGGGGCCTCGTACGCCGTCCCACCTCAGGCAGAGCTGGGGTGAGGGGCTGCAGGGGGCCCAGGCCCAGACGGACCTGCCCCCCCGGCCCAGGCAGCCAGCCAAGGCACCCCTCGGCAGCGCCACCCCCACCCCGGCACCCGAGCGCCTCAAAATCTCAGAAAAGCCACCGGGATGCCAGCACCAAGGCCAGGCCGGGTCCCACCCCAGCCGCCACGTGCGTGAGGACCTCGGGGATGGGCGACGCCCGCCAGGAGCCTGTCCGGCACCGGCACCGCAGACTCACAACACCTGTCGGGCGACTCCTGCGTGGGTTTTAAACCCACAGCCAGAAACTCTCGTGAGCCATCCAGCCCCAGCGCCGCGGGAAGAGTGGCTTCCTCTCAAAGGATGTGCGGCGCCCGCCCGGGGCCGCGGCAGAGAGGCCGGGCAAGTGCAGGGGCAGGGATGCGGCCGGGGGCTCCTGGGGGCAGGGACCCCGCTCCGCAGAGGCCAGCACTCAGGTCCCCGGAGTCCCCGAGCAGCACAGGGCTCCAAGCCTCCCTCGTCAGTGACCGGCTACGCCCTCTCCTGCCTGCTGCCGAAGCTCTGGCTCTGGTCCGGGGCTGCGACCCACACCCGGTCCCACCTGCCCCGTCCTGCCCGCGGGCGTCCAGTGGGGGGCGAGGAGGCGGGACCGGGAGCGGCAGTCAAGACCCAGGCAGCAACCGTGACAGATGCAAATCCACACACGGAGGATGTGGCCGCCCCGGCGCGGAAGCTGGGGCCACACACACTTGTCAAATAAACACGTCAGCCAATCGCAGCCGCAGCTGGGGCCACAGACACGCTGACTCGCACCCCACTGAAGATGAGGCCCCACCGCAGAGACACCCTCTGCCCCTGCCCTGGACACGGCCCTCTGCGGGCGGGATGTGTCCACGGTGCCCCCCAGCATGGCCCTCTGCGGGTGGGATGTGTCCACGGTGCCCCCCAGCACCCAGCCTGGCCCTGGCCACGGCCCCTCTGTGGGCAGGTGGGATGTGTCCATGGTGCCCCCCAGCCTGGCCCTGGACATGGCCCCTCTGTGGGCAGGTGGGATGTGTCCATGGTGCCCCCCAGCCTGGCCCTGGCCACGGCCCCTCTATGAGCAGGTGGGATGTGTCCATGGTGCCCCCCAGCACGGCCCTGGACATGGCCCCTCTGTGGGTGGGTGGGAGGTGCCCACTGTACCCCCCCAGCACCCCAGCCTGGCCGGGACATGGCCCCTCTGTGGGCAGGTGGGAGATGCCCACCGTACTCCCCCAGCACCCCAGCCTGGCCGGGACATGGCCCCTCGGCGGGCAGGTGCCCACAGTGCCCCCGGCCGGCAGCCCTGGACCTGTAGGATGTCCGGTCGCCTTGATCTGGGCTGAGGAAGCTGCTACATGCAGAGGTGCGTGGGGATGAGGCTGACACAGCCCCGCTCGGAGCCGGCCCTCTGCCAGCCACCCAGGCGCTTCAGCAAGGCCCCAAGCTCCGTGGTCAGCCGGGGACGAGCCCTGGGAAAGCCCACACAGCCCCGGCCCGCCTCCCTCACCTGTGTGCAGCTCGCGTAAGGGCACCCCACCCCACCCGCTGCACCGCACAGCTTCGCCCTCAGCCTGACCCCGGGCTCTCCCCTGTCTGTGTGCTGACCCAGACTCCGTGACCTCGCCCCCAAGGGGCAGCTGCCCCCGCTCAGCCCCAGCCCTGAGCTGCACGTGGGTGGGTCCCTCCTGACAGCTCCCAGGTGCACCGGGCACCAGCCCTCCCCCAACTCTGCTTCTTCCAGAAGGTTCTCCCCACTACCTTCCTCGTGGGAGGCACCTGCTCTCCCCCAAGACCCCACGGAGCTGAGCCGGGGCGAGAACAGGCGGGCGAGCCTGGCAGGGTGCGAGGGCACCCCGCGGCCCGGGGTGGCGCCCCACCCCCACCCCCACCCCCACCTGCCCTGCACTGTCAGATAACTTCCCGCTTCCTGCAGCTCAGAAAGAGGAAACGGAGGCCGGCTCGCAGCCCCCCGTGCGTGCGTGCGGGAGCGGCGCCTCCCATCCAGGCGGGCGGAGCGCGTGAGTCACTGTTTACTGCCCGGGAGAGCGCTCCCAGCTGGCCCGATCGCCACTTCCCGTGCGGACTGCACCCGGAACCCAGAAAGTCCACTCCAGGAACCTTTAGACCCGGAGCCGCCGGGCCGCCAACAGGCACGGCTTCTTCTGGGTCCGCGGCGACAGCTTCGCCCCAGGCTGTAAACCGACTCCCGCCGTCCCGGGCGCCCGCGGCCTCACCGGGGCCGCTCCCTGGGATCCTGGCCCCCGGGACTGCCTTACTGACCGTTCTACTGCGGGCCGGGTCCTCGGGGCAGGCCCCCTCGGGCATTCCCACCAGGAGGTCCTCCCCAGAGCCGTGCTCCGCAGGTGCGTCCCGCCCACCTGCGCGGCCCCCAGACCCCACCCACCGGCCGGGCCGACACCTATGTAAGAGCTCCCGGGCGCCGCCGCACCTGACCAGGGCTTACTGTGTCCTGTCGGGGCCAGACACTTGCCGGAGCTCGGGTCCGAGTCTGCCGGGGCACGTGGCGAGGGCGAGGCGCGCCTGGCCCCGCTCCGCGACGGCAGACACCTGCCGCCCCCGGACCACGCGGTCGCGGCCCCGCACCCGCACCCGCACCCGCACGTGGCGGCCCCGCGCGCCGCCGTCCCGCCCCGCAGGTGCTAGGGCCCCGGCCGGGCCTGGGTCCGCGCCCCCGGCTCTCAGCGCCGGGCCCGGGCGGGCGCGCGGGCCCCGGCAGCCGTGACTCCGCGGCCGCGTGGCCCCGAGCGCCCCCCGCCCCCCACGGGCCCCGCGCCCCGCGCCCGCCGCGCTCACCTGGCTCGCGCGGGCGGGCGGGCGGGCGCGCGGCGGCTCCTCGCGGGCACGCGCTCTCTTCGCGCTCGCGCTCACTCCCGTGCTCCCCCTCGGCCGCCGCCGCCTCGCGCTCGGGCTCCGACTTCGCGAAGAACAACAAGTTCCCCCCCCGCGCCCGCCGCCCGCGCGCCGCCGGCTCCCAGCATCTGACACCGCTTCCGGGATCGCGTCGGCGCGCGTCACGCCGCGGCCCCGCCCCACCCGCAGGCCCCGCCCCCGGCCGGCCCCGCCCCCTCGCCGGCCCCGCCCCGTGGTGCGCGGACGACGAGTCCCATCACGGCCCCGCCCCCAGACCGCGACCCTTTCCTCCCACGCTCGCGTCTCCAGGCCCCGCCCTCGCCGGGCCCCGCCCCGGCTCGCAGGCCCCGCCCCCGGACGGCCACACCCCCAGAAAGCGACCTTCCCTCCCGGCCCCGCCCCCTCCTCGGCCCCGCCCCCGGCTGCTCCTGTGGCGCGCACCTGAGCGGGGCACCTGCGCTCCTTCCTCTGCAGAGTCGGGGTGCGGGGGGAGACCCTGAACGACGATGGCGTCCCGCACCCCATATTCCGCATGCCCCGCCTGCGGTCTGTGCCTCAGGTCACACCTGCTGGGAGCCCCCGCCGCCCACCTGTTCGCTGCAGGGGGTCCCTGCTGGGTCCCAGGTGCACTGGGGCGAGCGCAGGGTCACAGCTGCCACTCCACAGCACAGGTATAGACGCCGGACGACCCCCGCGGGCCGCAGCAGAGGGTCGGGAGGACCAGCTTTCCTCCGTGGACGTGGCCCTAGGCGGAGGGGGCAGCTGGGGGCACAAGGCCCCATGTAGGCCCTCGCGAGGTAGGCATCAGGTGAGGTCGGGGTGGCCCTGGTCCCCAGATCCCGTGAGTACAGCAATCCGCAGGTGGGGGTGGCCCTGGGCCGGGGGCTTCAGCTGCTGCCATGGCCAGGGGGCCCGCCCATTTTGAGAACCAGCTCCCCCCGGTGAGGGGGCCAGGGCTGGTGGAGAGGGGACCGAGTGGAACACCCCTGCGTGCCGGAGGTGACCCGGCTGCCATGCTTCCCACAGGCACACTGGTGCTTGAGTGCCCCGGGTCTGGCAGGCCGGTCTCTGCGGGCTGCACGGGCAGCTGGACGAGAGCAGGAGGGAGTGAGGCCTCCTGAGCCTGGGTGTGGGGTCGCCGGGTTCCGATGCCGGCCCCCGCTCCGGTCAGCCCTGGCCGCTGCAGACATGGGGGAGCTGACCGGACGCCCTCACTGCCCCTGCGCCATTGCCTGCTCCCCGGGCCACGGCAGGTGCCTCCTCTCAGGCGGGCAGGTGTCCGGCCTGGCCTCGTGCCCTGCTCTCCGTTTGCCAGGAAGCAGCCGCAGCCCGGGGTCTTGCCAGGGTTTGGGAGGGGCCGGGGCCACTCTGCCTGCTTTTGTCCCTCACCTGGAAGCCAGCGAGAGGCCCAGGTTTGCGCTTGGAGAGGGGTGGTCCTGAGAACCCTTGGCCCGGAGAGCCAGGGGGTGGATCCGGCTTCTGTGTGGCCTGGGGTGGGTCAGCCGCCACCTCTGAGCATCTCCCAGTCCCTAAGTGGGGGTCAGAGGGGGACGTTGGGGTGGGGGTTGTGGCGCTGCCACCTGGACCTCCTCAGGTTCCAGCCCAGGCCCGGAGGGAGCTCCCGGCTACTGCACCCAGCCCGGGAGGCGGCCGATGTCCCTGACATCCCAGTGGGAGCCCGGGGGCAGGGAACCAGCAGCTGAGAAATCTCTCTCTCTCTCCCAGGGGAGGCTCCCTGCACCGTTCCCCTGGCTGGTATTGGACCAGGCGTCTGAGCCCGCCCCCCAACCGCGCAGACACCGCGGGAAAGCGTGGGCCCTGTGCACAGGCGCTTGCAGCCTGCTTGGCGGTCACGGCTCAGGGCCCTGGGCCCCGGTGGCCGTGCTCAGAGCGGCCGGATTCCTTTCCGGAAGGGCCTGTAGCCACACGGATAAGGCGACCACAGCCCTCCGGGGCCGGGCCCCGAGCCTGGCAGGGAGCTGCGGTTCGGCCATGCCCGGTGACGCGGGTGAGCAGTGGGTGTAAAACGTTCACTCTGCAGGGGCTCCCGCTCCCTGACCGCGAACGCGGGTCCGACCGAGGCGGGGACGTCCTCTGTGACAGGACAAGGCGGACTCGGGAAGGCCGTTGTCGCCCAGGCCTGGGGGAGGCTGCTCCACGGCCACACGAAGCACCCCCCGCCCAGCTCGGAGAGGTGGCCGCCCGTGCCTCCGTGTCCTTTAGGGTCCTGATCCCCACGGGGACGACCACCCCCGCCCCAGCCCCTCCTCTCCCAGCTCAGTTGGGGTTGAAGGTTCTGACTGGGAGGCCGCGCTGTGGCGCAGCAGGTGAAGCCGCCGCCTGCCACGCCAGCGTCCATGTGGGCGCCCGTTCCAGTCCCAGCCGCTCGGCTTCCAATCTGGCTCCCTGCTGATGGCCTGGGAAAGCAGCCGAGGACGGCCCAAGTGCTTGGGCCCCTGCTGCCGGCTTCCAGCCCGACCCTGTTGTTGTGGTCTTTTGCAGAGTGAACTGGTGATGGGAGACCTCTCTCGCTCTCTTTTCTCTGTCACTTTTTTTAATGTGGTAGAAATAACTTTTTTTTAAAGAAGTTATTTATTTCAGAAGTAGAGTTACAGATAGAGAGAAGGAGAGACAGAGAGAGAGGTCTTCCCTCTGCTGGTTCACTCCCCAGATGGCCACAACAGCCCATCAGAGGCCAGGAGCCAGGAGCCTCCTCCAGGTCTCCCACGCTGGTGCAGGGCCCAAGCACTTGGGCATCGTCTACTGCTCTCCCAGGCCACAGCAGAGAGCTGGATGGGAAGTGGAGCTGTCAGGACCCATATGGGATGCTGGTGCCGCAGGTAGAGGCTTAGCCCACGACGCCACAGCGCCAGCTTTGAAAAAGATTAGCATAAACCGAGGGACGGCCCACGGCCAGCACCAGGGAGGGCAGCCCGGCCACTTCCTCCTGCAGCCACATGATGGGCGCCCTGACAGCAACTGCCCGGCTCAGCGCGGCTGACCCCGGAGCCCTGAGGGCAGAAAGCCTGGGCTGTGAGCCCCCTGACCCCCACCCTGCACACCCCAGGAAACCAGCGGTGCCCACTTGGTGCCTGGGAACAAGGCCCTCCTCGGCCGAGAAGTCCCAGACACCCAGGGAGCGTCCATCCCAGACCCGATTTCTGAGCCAGCGCCACCGCTCTGGGGTCCACCGCGGACAGACATGGTGGTCAGGAGGCCACGGGCACAGCCCCACCGGGGTCGGCCGGGATCCCAAGGCAGGTCCTCCCTCCAGCGCCCCCGGCCTGGCCGGATGGCCTCTCACCCAGCACCGAGTTCTCTGGGGCTCCTTTGCGGGGAGGGTGCCCCCAGTCTCACTTTCTCCCACAGGGCCCTGGGTGCCCTCCCCGCCCCACGGCCGTCCTGCCTGCAGCATTTCTTCTGTTTCTGGACAATTGCTGGGAAGTGCGTCGCTGTCTCCAGGCAGAGGCTGCCGCCCGGCTTCCACTCCCACCCCCGCCGAGGCCTGGCTGCCCGGCGTCCCAAGTGCCACTGCTGGAGCCGCTGCCGTGCCTCCAGGGGGGCCCGTGGGCCCCAGTGCAGGGACTCACGGGGGTGCTCTGTAGTGGACCTGGGGCTCACGCTGCTCGCCACCCCCGGCCGGGCACCTCGGGCCTGAGAGGCGCCCACCGACTCCCGGCTCCAGGACTGACCCGGCTTCCAGCGTGGGAGAAGTGGGGGCTAAACTTGGCGGCAGCATGGGTGGGAACCCTCTAGGGCACCCCCAGCCCGGTGCCCGCCCTGAGCTGGGGCTCGGGGGCGGCGGCTGGCTGAGGCCCCTCGGAGGGCAGGACGTCCCTGCGTCCTTTTCCCAGGCAAGGTAAGCTGAGGCTCACAGAGGCCGTCTGCCCAGTGCCGTACCAGGGAAGGGGGGAGAGCGCTGGCGTCCTGGGGCCGGGGCCCAGCTGTTCCCTCTCACTTCCTCACCTGCAAGGTGTATATAAGAACAATTATTTGAAAGGCGGAGTGACAGAGAAAGAAGGAGCAAGAGAGAGAGGGAGGGAGAGAAAGAGAGAGAGCTGCCGTCCACTGGTTCACTCCTCAGCTGCTCCCAGCTCTTGGCCAGGCTGAAGCCAGGAGCCAGGACGTCCACGCGGGTCTCCCGAGGGGGTGGCAGGGCTCCAGGGACGTGAGCCTCACCAGCGGCCTCCCAGGAGGCAGGGGCTCGAAGATGTGGGGTGCAGGCGCCCCGTGCTCCCTGCAGGTTCCCCCGACTCCGGCTCAGTCTCTGTTCTGGGCACCGGCCTTGGCCTCGGCCCCCTGGGGTCGGTGACCACTGCTGGCCCTAGGAGGCTCCCAGCCTCTCCCTACCCCTTCCTTGTCTGCTCTGTCCCCACCCCATCTGAGGAACATGCGG